TTTCCGATAGTTAAAAAAGAAAAATTTAAATAGTTATAATAATAATAATAATAATAATAATAATAATGATAATAATAATAATAATAATAATAATAATAATAATAATAATAATAATAATAACAATAATAGTAATAATGAAATAAATAAATAAAAACGCAAAATTTGTTATTTTTCCTATTTTTTTAAAATTAAATTTTTTTTTTTTTTCTATTCATACATCATCATCATCATCATCGCGCTTATTATCATATGAAACACTAGAATTTTAAAAAAAAGTTTTGGGGGGGGTGTAATTTGTTTAATTATTATTATTATTATTTATTTATTTATTTCATATAATTTTAATATGTTTTTTTTTTTTTTTTTTATAGCAGTTAAGCAGAAATTGTTTTTTTTTTTTTTTTTTTTGTCATTCACCAATATATATATATATATATATATATATATATTTGTCTGAACAAGAAAAGTAAATTTAAAAAATACTAAATAATAATAATAATAATAATAATAATTACCTTCGCCCCACTTCTTTTATTTATGGCAAAGTGACACTTTATCACTTGATAACAATTATTGTTATTAAAAAAAAAAAAAAAAAAATTTTTTTAACGATCTCGTAAATAATTATTAATTTAATATATAAAAAATTTTTAATAATAATTTTTTTTTATTTTATATTAAAATACAATTAGCACAGATTTAATCTGATATGATTAAATTTATATAATTTAAAATAAATAATTATAACAAATAACAGAAATTTTTATCTGTGCTTTAATTGTATTATTAATTATTTGAAGAAGCTAATTATAAATAATAATTTTTTAGTCTTTTTTTTTTTTGGTTTTTTTTCTTTGTTGGAATCAATTTATTTAATAAATTAATAATAAATAAATGAAAAAAAAGGAACGAGATCTTTGTTAATTTTTTTTAAGCATCAGCGTCACATTGTAAAGAAGAGGGGCGTAGCCTGGCTCAGACATCTGCTTGTTTAGAACCGATACTCGGTGATCGTGAATGTATCACAACTTTGTGCCCATTTTTTGTAACGAAACCATCGCTTTCAACTAATATTTCCGTTTGTCTCGCGTTCGAAGAATCCGTCGGACTTTGATCTTTTGAACCGGGACCACCCGCTTCCGGTGTCCTAGAACCGCTTTCCGGTTTTTCTTCTTCGTTATCCGTTCCGACTCGTTGCTGTTTGTGTTTTCTCCATGCGTTTTGAATCAATCTGGCGCAATATTCTTCTCTCTGACGCCATAGAGTGCTCGATACGGGTTCGTAACCCGCTTCGTCGGGACGTGCTTGTACTTCTCCCAATTCTACCGTTTCTTCTATCGGATTCCCCTTTCTCGCGAAAAAATCTTTAGTCAAAGCATCCAATATATCGACACAAAACATTTTATCTCCTTTGCAAATAGGAATATCCATCGACACTATTTTATATTTGTTAGGTTTATGAATTTGCAAGGGAGGTTCTAAAACATCTAGGAATTCAGATAACTGATCGTAACGAATGTAACGCGTCCCGTCGGGATCGAAATTTTGCCAAATTTCGTAATACATATCGTAATCATCGTCCGTTAGACCCTCTTGTACGTCTTCCGTGGCTTGAGAGTAATTTTCCAATATCACCGCAATGTACATGTTAATAACAATTAAAAAACTTATTACCAAATAACTTAGAAGAAACGTTATACCGATGGTAGAATTTCCGCAATTTCCTGGAAACCCCATTTCGTTGTCTGGAACGTCGCAATCTTCCTCGTTAATGATTCCATTTAAAACTCCGTCCCAACCCGCGGACGTCGACATCTGCGAAAATGACGATACCCAACCGATAACAATATTGGAATACGTATGCATAACACGCGGATTTTTTAAAATATTTAATTACTTACTTGAAACAAAAGAATCATGGACTGGCCGAACGTTTGAAAATTGTACACGTCGTCTATTCCGCTATTGGGTTTCACGTGCATGAAAAAAGACATACCAAATATGGCAAATATGAACATGACCAAGAAAAGTAAGAGGCATATGTTGAAAAGAGCGGGAAGTGACATGGCCAATGCAAAAAGAAGCGTTCTGATTCCTTTGGCTCCTTTTACCAATCGAAGAACTCTTCCGACTTTAGCCACACGTACCACTCTCAAAAGAGTCGGTGAAACAAAATATTTTTCAATAATGTCGCTGAGCACGAGCCCTAAATAAAAAAAAATTTCATAAGTAAAGAGAATGTCGAAAAAAAATATGATCGAACGTGATTAATTATTATAATTAACTTACCGAGAATAGAAAGAATGACGACGACAAAGTCAAAAAGGTTCCAGGGCTCAACAAAATAATGATAGCGTAAAGCAAAAATTTTCATTAAACATTCTGAACTAAAAATAACAATAAATAT